GTCCCTTCAGCCAATGGGCCTTAGCTGCCTCCTCTATAATACGGGAGGGAGAGAAGGAGGGCCTAGATGGCCCCAGGTTCCTCCCTCCTCTAGGTCTGGGATCCTAAGAACTACAGGGTTGGCCTGGGACTCAGGAAGACCAGTGGAGTCTGCCTCCTGTGACCTTGGGCAAGGCTGGGGCAACTCTCTACGACTATCAGTAACAGATGAGGGAATACCCACCCACACCACCAACTCCCCATGTAGATGAAATCACATCTCCAGATCTGCCTCCCTGCTCCCCACATCCCCTAAAATTCCAGACACTGCGTCAGGCACTGGGGATACAAAGGCAAAACTGAAAATCCCTGGCCTAAAGAGTAAAGAGGACATCCCCATGGGCAAGCACGGCACACATGATGCACAGAAGACACAGGCTCGACCTGCATGTGTCCCATCTTGTCCCCACCACGTATCACAAAGGAGACACGTAAGCCAAGCCTCATGCACACCGAGGCCACGCCGCCTAGGGCTGGTCTGTATGAACCTCCAATGGGAAACTGCAATTTCTCTTAAGAGGATTGGTGAGTGTACTTTTATGTAGAGGCAGCCGCCACAACTGCCCCTTCTGTCTTCTGCCTTCCACGGACAGATACTTTGTTCCCACTCTCAATACAAATCTGGGCTTCACATCAGCGCTGGCATTACGCTGGAGGACAGCAGGGAGGAAGCTGACTAATAGAATGAAAAACTGTGAATGCGTCCAGCACTTGGCATACAGTAGGCACTTAATAAAAGCTTGTTGACTGTTTCTGCAGGGCTGCAACTAGGGCAAGGTGACCAGAGTTTTTCTCTTTGGTGCCAGAATTTAGCAGGCACATACAAAACTTTCAGTCCTTCAACTGCCCCCCAAACAACTGAGTTTAGCATCCATTTAGCAAGAATAATTAGTTAAAATAGGAAGCTCCCAGATGGTCTGAGCCTTCTTCTTGGCCCACCCTCTTCCTAGCCCCAAGCTCCCAAGTGAGCCCCTCTCTAGCTATCTACCCCCATTCCCCAATAATGAATGAATGAATGAATAAAAAAAGAAACATTTAGAAGGTAGCTACTATGTTCCAGTAGCTGAGGATACACAAATAAAAGCAAAGTGATTTTTTAGCTTGGAAAGCTTCAGGCAGGTTAAGTGGAGCCCCAAGGCAACAGAATGTCAGAATGCCCTTTCCAGAAGTAACACTAATTCGATTATGGGTCAGGAACTGAGCAGAGGGTTATGGGCAGGGAACTGACTGGTGAGAAGACAGTTGATGGGCAGGGTGTCAGTGAGAGGCTGAGCAGCCCTCCTATTCAAGTGGGCCACACACACACAGCAGGCCCTCGGCTGCTCCTGGGAGCAACAACTGCTAGTTACGTCAATACCTAAGTGAGACCTTAGCAAACCGCACTTACTGAGGCCTGGCAGGAAACAACTTGCCAGCTTTACTCAACCTTACTTTACTAATAGCAGGGAGCCAACAGCTAAGTGATCAGAGACTCTCCCAATCCCACGGATAAAATGTGGAACAAACCCAGCTGGACAGAGATGTCCAGTCAGCCAGTAAACCAGCTCCTCCAATAACCAGAATGCTGTGCAAAGCTGATCCACACCCTCAGCCAAGAGAAGAAAGCCTATGCTCTCTCTCCCCAGTTAGGCCTTTTTGACAAACAGAATAATGTTGGTCCTTCTTGCTAGGAATAGGTTGCGGGATTGCTCTTTAAATGACTGGCCTCAAGAGATTCCCAGAATTGGGATATTTGAACTTGAAGAAGAAAAGGCTCAGAGTTACTGGTGAGGGTCGGAAAGCCTCTCGAATCTTCAAATGTGGGAAGGGCTCTCTTATAGGCTAGTGATGACTTCTATGCTAACTGACCCCCAAGGGGCAGGATTAGAAGTAATGGTCAGAAGCCACAGCTAAGGAAGGCTGATGCTCCTGACATGGCAGCCCTTACTAAGAGGTGTTTATGTTGCAGGAGTCTGAGGGAAAGTATTCTATTTGGACAGTGCTATTCTGTGGGCCCCTCTGCCCTCTCCCCCCACACTATCATAGTGTGATGAGCTTTTGAGGAACTCAGAAATCACTGAATCTAACCCTTTCATTCTATAAAAGAGTAAACTGGGACCCAGAGAGGGGAGGTGACTAGCCCAGAGTCACACAGATAGTAACAGAGGCAGGATTTTACCCCCGCTCCCGACCGCTCCTCAGACTTCTATTTCAGCTTATTCATCTTCCTCTGACACTGTGAGGGGGAGGCACAGGATAGGCCAGAGAGGGCTAGGCTCTGGGACAGGCGTAAGAGGCGCTGAGTCTGGATCCCGGTTCTGACACTTCCTAACTGTGGCATCATGGGCAGGTCGGTCACCTCTTCTCACCTACCCACTTCTCACACCCCCCACCCCAAGATCACCTTTCACAAACATGGGAGGTATCTTAGATGCTCACTCTTTTCACCTTTCTTTGTGCCCTCAGTGCTTGGCATGGTGCCAGGCATATAGAAAGGGCTCAATAAATGCTTGCTGACTAACTCTGAGAGTCACAGTTTCTTCATCTGAGAAACGGGAGTAACATTTGCATTATCTCTCTCATAGAACTGTTTTCAGAAAAGTGGTTTATGGGGCAGATAGGTGGTGCAGTGGATAGAGCACCGGCCCTGAAGTCAGGAAGACCTGAGTTCAAATCCGGCCTCAGACCAAACACTTGACACGTACTAGCTGTGTGACCTTGAGCAAGTCACTTAACCCCGATTACCTCACAAAAAAAAAAAAAAAGTGGTTTTATGGGGGGCAGCTAGGTGGTGCAGTGGGTAGAGCACCAGCCCTGGAGTCAGGAGGACCTGAGTTCAAATCCAGCCTCAGACACTTGCTACTTACTAGCAGTGTGATCCTGGGCAAGTCACTTAACCCCCAACTGCCTCACCAAAAAGCAAAAAAAAAAGTGGTTTGCAAATCTTCCAAGTCATATAAATGTAAATTATTAATATAATTATAACAGAAAAGCAAAAGCAGCTGGAAATCTGACCTTGTTTCTACAAAATGCAAAATATCCTCAGGTCGCAGGTACTTCTCCTGCTGGTAATACTTGTAGGGCAGGAAATTAAAGCGAATGCAGTAAACCCGGTATTTGTTTTTCTTTTCTTCCATGCAGAAAGACTCCTGGATGTCAACTTTCTGCAATACCTGTAACCACATCAAAAGAACACATGCTGAACTAGGCCTTCGGAGGTACTACAAGGGAGCATGGCTGGTGGCACGGAGTCAACACTGACCACACCTGGAACCCCTCCCTCCCTCCCTCCCTCCCTCCCTCTCTCCCTCCCTCTCTGTGCTGCAGGCACCAAGCACACCCCAACAGCACCTGGAACCTCCACCACAGCTGGGCAGGAAGGGAAACCCTCTGAAGCAATTAATATCCCAGGAGGAGAAAGAGTCAGAGGACCTGGACTGATGGCTTCACTTGTCCCACCTTAGAATGCTGTCCTGGCTGCCCACGCAGCCAGCTTTCCAGCTGCTAAGCCCCTCACCGCCTCCTGACCAATCAGTACTTAAGAAGCTAATATGGCCCCTGATAACTCAGTGTCTGCCTCTGGTGAGTGTGGAGCATTGTGTGAAAGTCAAGGCTGGGCAGCGAATCTGTCCAGGTCTGCTCTCAGGACTAAGGAGAACGGCCTCCTCCCCAGCCCCCAGGCAGGCACCTCGCCCAGGCACACGCGGGTCAGCTGCTTCTTCAGGCTCTTGACCCTCTTCAAGGCCCTCTTGGTGTTGAGCACAGGCACGCTCATCATGGGCGTCTTGATGTTCGAGCTGGCCACCATGAGGATCTCCCTCAATCTGAAAGAGAGGGTGAGGGCTTGGCCTGAGCACACTGTGGGATGCTGAGAGGACTTAGGGCGTCACTTCTGGGGGAGCGCCCCGCTCTGTGTCTTCTTTCAAAACTCTGCTCAAGCACCACCTTCTCTTTGAGGTCTTTTCTCATCCTCACCTTCCCACCCCTGCCCCTCAAAAATGTGCCCTGTGCTTACTTTGTACATAGTCAGTCAATACGCATTTACTAAACACTCATTATCTCCCAGGCAATCTGCTAAGTGCTTGCGATATAGAAATAGAGACCTCAAGTAACTGACACTCCGGTACACTGGTGCACATAAGCTGTCCATGTACGGAGCAGAGGGAGGGTAACTCAAGGGGAAGGCACCAGCAGCAGAGGTGAGGGGACAGAAAATTCCATGCAAGGATATGAGCAGGCCATCATTCCTCGATCACAGGGAGTGGGAGTAAAATGTCAGAAGACTGGAAAGAGAGGAAGGGGTGGTGTCATGAAGGGTTTTCAATAAAGCCCAGGAGTTCCTAGGTGACTCGAAGGGCAACAGTGAGCCACTGAAGCTCACTGAGCAAGGAGGTAGGGAGGTGACCGTGTCAGGAAATGACCTCGGCAGCTGAGCGGAGGGACTGGAACAGGGACTCATTGGGGGACACATCTCCCCGACAGAATCTAAGCTCCTAGAGGGCGGATGCTGTCGTCTTCCCCAGGTCTAACAGCACGTGGCAGGTGACAAGCAGGTGCTGTCCCCTGACGGGGGCGGGTTCAAAGGCACTGGTCCCTGGGCTCCACCCTCGTCACCTTCACCTCTGGGAATCCCGACCTTCCTTCAAGGCTCCTCCCAGTTCTTAGAGGTTACTTTGTATTTACTGAGCTCTGTACTCTCTGCCCAAAGGCGAAGTCACCTCCAGAGGAGGCTGTACCATGGAGAGGAGCTTTGAGCTCCTGTGAGCCCTGGGCCACATGCCCAGAGCCTAAATGCCATTCCAGCAAAGGTAACAACGGCCCAGGTCTACAAATGTGAAAATAGAAGGCTTGGGCCCAGCTGATGTCAGTTAACAACATTCAGTCTAATAAAGACACATCTTGCCTCCTTCTGGTCAGAGCAGGGCCCATGGATGCTGGGGGCCAGGCCCCCACTGGTAACCAGCCATCTCTGGCTGTATCTGGAGTGTACTGTTAGGGGGTACGGCGCATACTAGCACTGTTATCTCACCAAAAGCCCCAGCACACTGCTGTGTTTAGCAGATAAAGAATGAGAGACCTACCCTCAGTCAAACAGAAAGAGAGAAACCAAATAAACCACCCCGGCCTCACTTCTCCCCACATGGGGTGTGGACGGTCACCTCCACCCTGCAGGAATTCCACTGGGACCACTTTCTCAAATGCATCCAAATACAAATCAAGGTCATGGCAGCATAAGGAGTTTGCTCCCCCTGTGCCACAAAGCGGAGGTGCCCCAGGCCCCCTCCAGGATACCGGGCAGGGCCACAGGTCAAGTGACAGTGCTTACAAGTTCCAGAAGACGGGGGAGCCTCAGTAGGACAAAAGCCCCCTTACCTCCAGCCTCCTCTTATTCCCTTTGCTAAATGCCACCCGCCTCTTACCTTGGAATTCCCAGCGTGACATTCATCTCTCCTCTGCCAGCAAAGTGGAAAGTGTTCAGGGTCATCTGTGTGGAAGGTTCTCCAATGCTCTGGGCGGCCAGGAGGCCCACTGCTTCCCCTGGGTCACACAGTGCCCGCTGCCACTTCAGATGGAGCAAGGTCTTCAACCTGGGGCAAAAGGGATGTGGGCAGTCAGGAGACAGACCCGAGTCACCATGCCCCCTGCCTCTGGTCCCAAAGGTAGAGCCTTTCCCCATACTGCACCATGGCCATGGAATGGACCCTGTGCTTCCTCAGTAATCACAAGCCCTCCTGTCTTTATTGTTGCCCCCAAGGCATCGTAAGCCACTGAGTCACTGAGGCTCCAGATGCCTGTGTAAGGTCCCTGCTTTGGAATCCCTCATTTCCTTCAAACGTCAGCTCAAGGATTGCCTCCCATCTCCTGCATGAGGCCCTTTCTGATCTACCCCTGCCCAGATGCTACGGCCTCCTCACCTAAAATTACCCTAGAGTTTTGTTCTGGCGAGGCAATTGGGGTTAAGTGACTTGTTTAGGGTCACACACACACGGTTAGTAAGTGTCAAGGTCTGACTCGGGATTTGAACTCAGGTCCTCCTGACTCCAGGGCCGGTGCTCTATCCACTGCGCCTCCTAGCTGCCCTACTTAGAAGAGCACAAGTTGTCTCCCCTGATAAGAATGGGTGATCCTTCAGGGCAGGGATCAGCTCATTTTTGAGCTAGGAATAGGCACTTAATAACCATGAAAACCTTGCCCATCTCCCTGGGCCATTCGTACAACTGTAAGCCACCTAGGAGAAGCTGTCACATCTACCTTCCCAGGAGGACCTGGGCTCAGGAACCAAAATGCAGCATCCCCATTTTACTCATCCGAACCGGACTCATTCAGAATTTGGGAAAACTTGGGCAGGGCAACTGTTCAGGTTTCAAGTTTCAACTCAGGCCAAATGTACCATCCACAAAAGGTTTGCTAAATGCATGAAAAATAAGACAAGACCTGTCTGTTCTCTTCAGTTTAAACTAGTCTGACTCAGAACCTGAGCAGTCAGTATGCATGTTATCTTAATTACTTTGTCAAACTAGTTTCAGTGAACTAGTGTTGAGAAAGTTAAAAAAAAAAATGTAAAGAGCTCATTTATAACCCACATTTTTTCCTGGATCAGATAAGGCTTGTGCCCAACTGGCAACAAGAGAGGTCTGAAAGCATCTGAATACACCTGAGAGACGGAACCAGAGCTGGTGTTTCCTCTAGCAAGTGCATCTGTGGGCTTCATCCTGGTGGACTTCTCTGCTTTGAAAAGAGCTGGCTCCAGGGCTCCCTGGGGAAGGCGGCGAGCCAATGGATCCCTGCCTTGTTTCCAGGAAACGAGCTAACTGCAAACTGAACTGCGCTGCTCCCTCCGACCTGCTGCGGGAGATGAAGAAGCCAGGTGCAAAGGCCACAGGCCCCTCTAGTACCACGGGCCCCTCCGGCACCACGGGCCTCGGGGAGGAAAGATTCTCGGGGAGCAGAAAAAGGAGAAGCAAAGAGAGCAGGCTGTTGGCTTCACATTGGCAGCTATGTCCCAGAAACCACTGCTTCTTATGATACCTTCAAAGTCTTGGCAAATCTCTGACCCTATGAACCCACAAAATTGAATGTTCTTACAGGACAAGCCTCTGGAGAGGTAACACAATAAAACTGTAATGGTCGGTTACAATAGGCAGCTGTTTTATGAGTGACATATTCCCATGAGGGGTGCAGAAACATCTTTGGTCTAACCCAAACACCTCTCGAAGCATCTTAAATAACTTCCATTCATGGGAAAGCCAGCCGGGCACACGGGAGAGCTAGAGCCGACCTTCGAATCAGGAACACCAGGGGTCAGGTCCTGCCTCTGTGACACCAGACAAACCCATCAGACGACTCTGTCAGATCAATTGCAGTGGTGGAGGGAGCTTCCTCGCATCAATGAAATCAGAGAATTAGTCCAAAAAGAATGCTTACCTAGGAAGATGCCTCACCACCATTTTCCCTCTCTTCTCCCTTACCTAGATGAAGAGGGGAATGGAAGACCCCATGGCTATGTCAGGCCTATGCTGAGTTCATTATATTGTCAGCTCTCTGGCCCTCTCCAAATTTTCCCGGCCGAGTATCAGCTGCAAGGCCTCAAATACTGGACCTTTTTTGGAGGAAGGCACGACCACCAAGTTGCTATGAGTTCCTTGTTTTTCAGCTGAGGAAAGTGAGGCCCAAGGAGGTGACGGGCAGGTGACAAAGGAAGCACATGGCTTCCTGGGGTCAGAGCTGCAGGCTCTGCTCCATTACATTTCTGACTACATCTCAGTACCGGGCTCCAGTATTAAACTGCAGGAGACTCACAACCCCACTCACTAGTGTCTCCTCCGGACCCCTGTGCTCAGAGGACTACACGGAGGACCCCAGCTCTCTCGGATCTTCATGCAGGAAGACTCCATCGATCCCCTTCACTCCACCCTAGCCCCTCCCCTGATCCGCTCCCAAACTGTTACCTATCAAGAGAAAGTTCTGATTTTTCATAGCTTCTCTCGGCCTGAGCCGCCCACTCCTGGGCATACGCATCAACCTGGTTTTCAAATGTTTCTGACACAGATGCAAAGTGGATATCAGGACGCCAGACTCCCAGGCTGGGATCAGGGCAGGGAAGGGCTCTCTTCACATACTTCCTCTGGCTCTTCTCATCTAACTCAGACCACATTTTTAAAATCTGCAACAGAGAACAGATTATAAAGCCACTGTCCAAATGGCAACCCCCAGGAACCACCGCTTGGAGAATTTACGCGCCCATCTCAAGGCCCCATCCTCAATGCCCCACTAAGGTAGGACCGCCCATTCATTTCCACCTTCTCTACAATGGATGATAGCGCCAACTCTACACTCCCTCACTTACTGTGCAACGGGGGGGGGGGGGGCAAGTTCCAGCACCCCTCTGGGCCACATGCCTCTGCTAGAAGAGTGGGATTAATAACATCTGCCCTCGCTTCCTCTAGGGTTACTGTGAGCGTCCCAGAATGCCAAAGTTGGGGGGCAGCCTCAAAGGCCAAGTCTGCTCCACACCTGGACAAGACTCCCCTCTATAACCAGAACGTGTATGTGCGCGTGTGTGTGCGTGCACGCATGTGTGCGTGTGTGTGTGTGTGTGTGTGTGCATGTATGTGTGCGTGTGTGATACAAATATCTTCCTGCCCATCCCATCTTTGCAAATCTCTGCCAGGAAGTTTCCCCTTGCAATAGGAGGACATTAAATGCAAACCAGCAGTGTGACTGTAAAACTCTCTATAAACCTAAACTACCATTACAATGACTTTTAAAATTAAGGTGATAATCTTGTTAAGAGTCCAGCCCTAAAGCATGCATATCTTCCACACACGAGACGCAGTGTAGGGGAGTGGGAAAGGCTGCCCTGGGAAGCAGACAAGCGGGGTTCAAATCCCAGCTCTGGTGCCCTCCCTGGGCCTCAGTTTCTTCACCTGTAAACCAGGGGGTTGGGCCAGCTGGCCTTGGGTCCCTTCCAAACCCTAGTGGGGCTAGTCTGTGTCCAGGCCACCCAAAGGCTGCATGGGGGCTGCTTACCTTCTGCGCACTGGGGTCCCGGCCATTCTGGCTCCCCCCAGTGAGGTTCAGGGCGCGGATGGCCGCCTGTACTTTCTGGGAATAGCTCAGAAAGGCCCCGTGTCTGGGGCAGGTGGGAGGATGCTTGGCACGCCACTTCCTGAGGGCTCTGAAGTGCTGCTGGGCCTGCATGGGGTCCATCTTGGATAAAACTTCATCCAGATGCTTTGATTTCCGTATTGCCTAGAAAAGCAAGCCCAGTGAACCAAAATGTGACAGCCCCTGGATCACCGCAAGTGACTCCCCCTCCTCAGATGTCTTACAGGCCTTTAGGCCTCTGACTCCTATCAGGTAACAGAATGGAAACTGGAGCTGGACCCAGGACCCGAGTTAAAATTCAGCTCTGCCGCTGACGACATGGAAAGGTCGTGGAAGGACCACTGGCCCTAGAGTCAGAGGACAAGGGCTCGGGTCCCATCGCTCTGACACATCCCAGCTTCCACGGCTTAGACTAGTTGGCCTCTAAGGGCCTGTCCTATGCCCACGGTACCGAAAGGTATTTCTCGGTGCCCGCCCCCAATGCCAGGTACTCTCCCTTATCACCCCCATTCCTCTGAGAGCTCAGTTGAAGGACCCCTCTTCCAGGAGGCCTTTCCTGACTTGCCCCTCACCCCCACCCCCACCCTCTCCTATTTGTTTGGCAGGTACTCCTGTCCACCTGGTGTCTCCTGGAGCAGCCCAGCATGGTGCCAGGAACACAGGCGGTACCTAATAACCACTGGCTGAGTGAGTCCTTAACAGAGGTTGCTGAGGCTGAGTCCCTGGTGAAGCCTGCCTTGGTCCTAGATGGCACACACCACACCCTCACTGCCAGCCCTTTCTGAGGGCAAAAACCTCCCTGGCCCACTGCCCAAACAAGCTGGGAGGAGGGTGGGCCCAGCCACAGAGGAGGGGCAGGGAAGGCAAGGAAGTCATTCCTACAGCGGGATGTCTCCAAGCATCCCTGGCCAGAGACCTCCCACGCGGACATCCTTTCCTTACTTTCAGGCAGCGGGATTGCCTGGGAAAAGCTCCTGCCCCAGTCAGCAGCCGTGGCGCTGCCACTATCCGGGTGCCCCTGCCTTGCACAGAAAGCTGGGCTGGGAGTCGGAAGAGCTGCAGCTGAACCTTGCCTTGGACAAGTCTCACCACTCACATCAAGCAGCATTTACTGAGCACCTCCTGCGTGCCGGGCACTGAGCTAGGTGCTGTGGATACAAAGGAAGTGCCTGCCCTCAAGGAGCTCCCAGTTTAGCGGGGAGAAAACACAAACAGCTACGTACAAACGAGGTAGAGGTGACAAACAGGCCCCAGCGAGGGGGGGCAGCCTCAGAGGAAAGGCAGAAAGAGCAAAGAGGACAGAGAAAAGCTTCCTGTGGAAGGTCAGCCTTCTTAGGAGCTGTGTGACCAAGCCATTCAATAAATCAAACATCTATAAAATGGGGGTAATTGTAGGGAAAGCATTTTACAAGGACAGTGCTTCGAAAATTCAAGCTGTTACTATTATAGCTCACGCAAAATGAAGATTAAAAACTATTTTTCTTGCCTCAAAGAATTGTTATGAGCATCAAGTCAAGGGAAGAAAAGTAAGGGCGTAAGCAACCTATATAGCACCTACTATGTGCCAAAAACTATGCGAAAGGAATACTTTTGAACTCATCTGATCCTCACAACCACCCTAGAAGGTAGGTTCTGTGATCCCCATTTTACAGTGGAAAAAACTGAGGCAAACAGAGGCTAAGTGACTCGCCCAGGGTCACACGGCTAAGAAGTGCCTGAGGCTGCGTTGGAACTCAGGTCTTTCTGACTCCAGGCCCGGAGCTCTAACCGCTGCCTTGCCTACAGTTGTCACATACAGCTATATCTATGAATGTAAGTAGATTTAGAGAGAAAGAAAACAACACTCTGACATGTTCAAGGTGCCATACACAGATGCAGTGCGTGATTACTGCCACCATCCTATGATGCGGTCTCTTCTGTTACCAACCTGGCCCAGGGACAATGAGGCAGGCCAAGGGAGGATCCTGCATCTGCAGTCAAAGGCCCTGGGTTTGGCACTTGGCTCCGTCAATGACTACCTGGGTGGCCTTGGGCAGGGGGCTCCAACTCCCTGGGGCTCGGATCATCCCGAGATCCTTCTAGCCACGAGGTGTGGGACCCTCTAAGTCACTGAGTCGGGGACCTGAGCGTCTAGCCACCTCTTTTTACAGATGAGGGGGACTGTCAATAACGCAGCCACCTCCCTCTTCCCCCAGTCAGAGACACACGATTCCCATTCTGCTCCCTACTCCATCCCGAGGGGATGGGAACCCCTCTACCTCGTAGTTGCTGAGGAGGAAAGGAAACTGCTTGGGCTGCAGGAACTGCGTCTTGGGGATATCCAGCCCATCCTCTCCATACAAGAACTGGACCACGCTGCCGTCGCTGTCTCGCACGGTGAGGTCGTACTGAACCACCAGCCCTTCCAGGTGTTTGATGATGCACCTGCCAACAGAGGCGTGCTCAGGCCTGGCCCATGAGACAAGAGGGAAGGGGCGGCTGCTCTGGTGGGGGGACTCAGAACGTGCCTTTGGTCTCAAGGGAGCGTTGGGAGCCTAAGAAGGAAAACGGGCCGCGCCAGAGGCGCTGCGGCGATCAGTCTGGTGGAGCTCCAAATCAGGTTATTACATGATCAAAGGAAACGCTCAATTAAATGATGGAGGGGATGGATTCAGAAAAACCTGGGAAGACTTGTATGAACTGATGAAGAACTAGGATTTATAAACTATACATAATTTGTTAATACACCATACATCAAATAGCTATATAAACCTATAACTGTATATGAATGTATGATTTATTAATACATAAATATGTATAATTTACAAAATAAAAGCAATATTGCAAAGAGAAACAACTTTAAAACCTTAGGGATTCTGATGAACACAGTGACTCCTCACAGTCTCAGAGGACTGATGCAAACGTGTTGCCTACCTCCAGGCAGCTGTGATGGACTCCAGGGAGGGCACACATTAAGACACTTAGACATACTTACTAACCAGACTTTCATTCTTTATTTCTTTCTCAACTGGGGCAGAGGGAGAAGAGAGCAGGAGGAAGGGAAGGCAAAATTTTAATTAAAAAACCAAACCAATCCAGTCCTACTGTGTCCTGCCCAACAGCATGAGATGCGTTGTCTCCTAGCACAGGTCAAAGCTGGGCCGCCCTGCCACCGCTGCAGGGCCCACACTGACCTCCAGTGCTCTTCCCGCAGGGGAGCAGGCCATAGAGCTAGGAACCGCAGCTGCCAGCGGCCAGATGTGCAGCAGCACCCCCCCCCCCCACACACACACAGCTGCCTGCTCTTTCATGCTTCTCCAGGGACCAATGTTCTCTGGATCAACAAGAGACTCAGCAAGGCAGGCATTTCTCTGCTCTGGTGAGTACTAAACTTTTCCAATCTGGCTCCTATTACCCATCTTAGGCACATGAGGAATTCACATCTGAAAGGAGAACACTAGGCATTTCCATATCCCAGGTCCAGTGGCTTTTGCTCAGCCCTCACTTGCCGTCTGCTCTGGAGTGACTGGGATACACAGCCCTTTCTCTGGGAAACTCTGCCCTCCCCCAGCCTCAGAGAGATGTGCTGGGGATCCCCTGGAGGGCTCAGACTCCTGCGGGCATTGTCTGTGGCCTTCTCTTCTCTTCCTTCTCCTGCCAACCAAGTCCTAACCTCTGCTCTTCTGGCCCTCTGCTGTTCTCTCCCTGGAGAGCTCAGACCAAACGGGCACATTTCTATCTGGCTGTCTGTTCTCTTGTCATCTCGAACAATACCAAATTCATCCTGTCCTGGCAAACATCCCCTTCGCTGTCCTCGTCTGTGTCAACAATGCCATCGTTCTTTGGTTTCTCCCACTCCCTCGACCCTCAAGGTAAATCAGCGCCAAGAACAAACTAGTTCTTTCTCTACAACCCTTCAGCCCCAGGCTCTGTCCCCCCGTGTATGCTAGGCACCACAAGATGCATCTTCCCAAACCACTGTGTCTGCCACCCCTCCTCTGTTCCAAGCCTTCGTGGCGACCCTTTGCCCAACATTTAAGGCCTGCCACAATCTCAAGTCTGGGGTAGAATAGAGAGGGGACAATCTGGAGATGTTCCATGTCCAACGCCCTCATGTTACAGAGAGACTAAGTGACTTGGCTGATATCTTGGAGTGTTTGTATTTCTGAGGTTTAAGAATATCTGGGTGTCTACGAGTGAGTCTATATGGGTGTGGGTCAGAGCAGCAGGGTGGGTGGGGATGCTGACATCTTCCTGGACGCAGGAAAACCAGTTAGCTATTGCAGTAGGCCAGGGGGAAGAGGACCGAGCAACAGAGCTGGAGAAGAGCGAGGCAGAAGGAAGAGACGCCGTGTAAGCCACGCTGTATAAGCAAACCCTGCCAACTCATTGGACAGAGGAGAGGGGCCGGAGGGGGCCAAAGACATTTCCCCTCTCTGACTACAGAGATGGCTGACCGAGGCGAGGGTGGCAGAGGCAAAGTTTCAGAGGAAGATACAGAAGAGCCCGCCTGACCATCCCCAATCCCAAGGTACCTATCTGGTTCCCGCTCTCAGGGGTCACCCATCTGGCTCGGTGCACCATGCCCACTACACAATTAGCTCGCCCTTCAGGTCTGTGTCCTATCTGTCTAACAGGTCCACAGAGTCTAATTTGAGAGTGTAAATGAAGACTTGGGTGTGTTTAAAAACAAATGGGATGGAGAACCGAAGGCTTATCAATAACGATGAGCTCTGATGAAACACACTGTCCACCTCCAGAGAGAGAATTCCCGGACGCAGACAGCAGGGAACTTTTTCTCCTTCTCTCTGAATGTGGCTAATGCGGATGCTGGTTTTGCACGTCTAAAAGTATTTGTAATGGGTTTTGTTGTTCTTGCCTTCATATAGGAAGGGGAAGGGAAGAGGGAGGGGGAGAGGGAATATCTGGAACTCAAATTAAAATACAACTGAATATCAAAATTAAAAAGTAAAATAAAAATGAGCTAAAATTTTTAAAAAGGAAAAGTAAACAAAGAGGCGGGAGTTTAGAGTGTGGGGCTCAGGCTGCTCCTTCCCTCCCCACCTGCCAGGGAGGGGATCCCTGAGAACTGATACAGACCCAGTACCACCTCTGGGGCACAAACCTGGGCCTCCCAGGAGGCCTCACTGGCATCATGGCTGAATGGAGACACTCTCTTCTCTTTCCTGTTGCCCCAACCTGTTCAAACAGCCACATTTCTGAGGGCTCTACAGTCTTAAAACACACTGGGTTCAAGGGACTCCATAAAGGGCAGAGTCTCACACATGGCCTGATTCTCTCAGGGTCCTCCTCCAAAGAGGGAAGCCATTTCTGATAACCCACAGCACTGGTTCCCCCAGGCTTGGGGAGGACAAGGGGAGAAAGGGCTGAAGCCAGAGCCCTACCCACAAGGCAGCACGTACAAGAGGCCGGCCTGGGCTCCCCCTTCCTCTGTCGGCAGAACTGAAGGCAGGCCAGCCGGCCAGCCGGGGCTTCAGCCTGAAGAGCAGCAAACCCTGAGACAACAGTGTGGAGAGCGGTCACCGAGTGTGGGCGGGGCTCAGGCTTCAGCACCTTCTCCAGCACTGTGGGTCAGGGGAAATGACTTCCCTCCCACTGGGAGACAGCGTGGCCTCAAAGAGAGACCGCAGAGCCAAGAGTACGGGATTGGCAGGAGGAGACCTCGGTCTGTGGGAGTTAATTAAACAGGCAATCTTAGCTCCAGCACGTTGACAAAGCCCACCACTCTACCTTTCCGCATGCTTACAAAGTCTTCAGGGGACACAGGAGAGCACAGATGTGCTCACGCTGAGCTCCTGGTTATTATATACGGGGCCCTTTGAGGTTTATAAAGTGGACTCTCTTCTCATCACAAGTCTGGGAGGGAGGGAACCCACAGCTGGAAGACTTAGGCTCAGGGAGGTGAGATGATTTACCCATGCTCTTACAGGGGCCAATCTCCTACTGAAATGATGTGATTCTCTAAGTGTCTGAGCAGGGACTCAAACTGGGCCTCTTCTGACTAAATCCAGGGATATTCCCCAAGGCCATAAGTCAGTTTTGTAATTCCTTCACAGCCAGAGGAGAAAGTGTCCCGTTTTGTTCTCTTACCTCTGCAGGTATCCTGATCGACTTGTTTTGACAGCTGTATCTACCAGACCTTCTCTCCCTGCCATGCAGTGAAAGAAGAATTCCTATGGGAAAAGAAGGGTAATGGTCACGAACTTCACAATGAGCTCATCTCCATGAGCAGGGATGGGCCGACATGGGGTCTTCCATGACCTCTGGCCAGGGCCTGCTCTACCGCTGGTAGATGGCTGCCTGGGACCACAGAACAGGCTGTGGTCATGAAATGGAGCCAAGGGATCCCATCCTTGGCTCTGCCGGATATAAGCAGACACAGCTATAAAGGTCATCATTCCAGCCAAACATGACTCCAGGGAAAAACCACCAGCCACCCAAAGTCCATGCCCACAAAGGGTAAAGGTGGAAATGATCCTCCCTTCCCCGGCTTCATTATGGACTGGGCCACAGCAGAAGGTGAAAGGGTGACAGAGGCAAACCAAAGACAAACCCAAGATACCGTCAAAGCTGGCCAAGGGCCAGCCCTGGGAGCCCCGCTCTTCTTTCTGTATGGCTCAGAGGGAAGGGGCTCCCACAGTCCCTCACGCCCACCTTTTGGTCCTACCAGTTGGTAGGAACGGGCTGAGAGGGCAGTTTAACCTTCGTCTGTGGTAATGACCAAATGTTCTTCACTACTAAGGACCTTTCCCTTGGACAGCATCATGAAGGTGCATGGCCAACAATCTGAGGGCTTTACTCTTGATAATGGGGAGGTGCATGCCCTTCACCAGCCAGCAGTTTAACCCCCCTGTTCACCAAGGGGAATTTAAACAAAAGGGCCGCTAACACCCTGCAATCTTTTAGCTTACCGCTCACCCTTAGAATCCTCTCAGCACATACCCATCCGAGCGGGGAGTCAGTCACCCACTGCATGCAAGGTACAAAGAACAGGGAGGAGATTCCCTGAAACAGAAACCTGAAAGCACCTACGGGAGGCTTGATGCCTGTGAGGAACCTGCCGGTGACGAAGCCTCCAGACCGGGGAGTGACTTCGTAAGGTTGGAAGCAGGGCAGCGACTTCCCGGAGGGCATCAGTGGGGGCCTCCTCCCTTCCAGCTCAATCTGACCGAGCAGACAGGAAATCTGTGGGGCACAAGCAAAGCCAGGGACGTGAGATGGGTGACAGAGCCGAAAAGGCAAGACAAGGCCTTCCCGAGAACCATCGCAGAACCCTCAGGTGTGTGGTTACAGGACACAAAAGACACCATGTCAACGGAGATGTTGTCCACTGAGTAGGAAAGTGTAAGCTTGGAGAAGCCCTGGGATCAGACCTGCATCGTGTTGACAGTCGATCCTTTGGCTCCGGATTGGACCATCATCTGCAGATTGTTCTCTGGGAACCCTCTGTGGAGACCGAAGGGCATGCAGGCCTAGGCAGGGTAAAGAGACAGTCAGGGCGACCCAAGACAAATAGAGAAAATGTAAGCCCCACGCCTAGTCAACACTCCCAACCCATGCCGGGGGACACTGGCTGCCTTCCTCCCTAGTGAGTCTAACCAGAGCTACGAACAACAGGGCTAGCTGGCGTCTCTGAGACCAGGGTCTCCTCTGTCCTGCACCAGCCAGAAAGCAGCCAAAGGAAAAGGGAGGAGGAGAGTAAAAAGAGGACATGCTGAGGGTGGGCTGATCAACAGGCCCAGCAGGTGAAACTAGGGCAACATACGGGGCC